AGGTAAGGACTTGTGTCGCTAAAGTTTCATCAGAACGAAGTTACGGAAAAACAATTTAACAAACGGAGACGTAACAATACTGTTTCTAACTTCCTCAAAGTCATTAATTGTTAGCTGATGTATCCCCTGCTTGTAAAAACTTAAGTTTCTCTTGGAATCATGCTGCCATTTACTAGAGTTTACTCTTCTTATTGTCTATTGCCTCTACTATAAATAGGATAGCCTCCAACCTGCAAACTCTACAGACAAATTGCATATCTTCACTGCTAGTTTCCTTAAAAGTTCATACCAATCCCAAGTTCCTAAATAAGACCCACTCATTGCATCCATTACAACTAATAAACTGTGAGCACTTAATTCCTACATTAGTCTTAACCATTGTATTTTTAGCCTGATAATAAATACTCAACACTAAATACAAGTAATGTAGTGACAAAACTGTTAAGCCTAATATTTGAGAATCCAACATATTACAGTATTTTATCACTACTTTATCTTCACACTAAAGTAATTAAGTTTATTTTCAAAATATAGAAGTGACAAATAACTGGTCTTTAGTTGAAATTTATGTAGAAAAAATGTATTTAGTCTGATTTATAACCTACCTATAAGCTGAATTTAAACTCACGGATGCAAAGTTATCTAACCAATTTTATCCTTAAGATATGCAGAGACAATAAACTAGTCTTCAGATTGTATTTGCTTAATAAAACAATGTACTTAGCCTGTTATGTGATTTACCAATAAATTGAATTACAGCTAAGCCTAATCTAATTAAAAATACAAGATGATGGCAGTTGTATTTAAGTGTATGCAGTGTTGTTTTACATTATTAAATAACTGTCATTTAAAATGTATGCAGACATAGAAATGCCTTCTCTTTCATCATATATATAATGCAATATTTGTTTATAATTCAGGACATCTATTAGAACAATTTCATCTGCAAAGACTTATCTTACAAGATTGTAAAATAAATTAACCAGTTAGGAAGCATTAAAGTAATAAAAATATTTTTGCTTTTACATGCACCTTGCTATTTTTAAACCTCAGAGCTACTCTTTCAACTCTCTATTACATTTCAAATCAAATATTTGATTGTAAAAAAGTGAATGAATTTTGAAGAATGAATCAAGTTTTAATGCTTATCATACTCTTTCAACATTTCATAATACATTTTACTACTTTTAATTCATAATTACAGTCACTGTCTATTTAGATTATTTTTGAATACAGGATAATAAGCATAACTTCTTAGTAAATTTTAATTTCCAAATATAAGGCAATGATAGAATATTAATACTTTTCAACTAAATTTTAAAACTAAGATTTTCAGTATATCTACTGAGAAAAACAAGTATATGGAAGTCACCTTAACTACTTTCTAGGGTGAGGATCTTACAACTTTTGGAGAATTGATGGCTGAGGGAACATTCCGCATGTTTGGAGCCAAAGCTCTACGTCACCTATTTCTTTTTAATAAAATGTTGCTTATAGCTAAGAAGAAGGAAGAAGGAATTCTCATTTACAAAACACACATCATGGTGAGTGTTTTGTTGCATAAAAAAACACTAGAATTTTTATTATGAAAAATATTATTATTTACAGAAAAAAAATACATCTACATACCATAAAAAGTCATCTAGGTTTTTATGACTAAACCTATTAAGGAGAAATTAGATTATTTAGCATTCGACTACTAAATTATTGTAAAAGATGTAAAAACTGTAAATAGTTAACTGTGAACAAACAAAATGTGAGGTAATGAAATAAATGTAAAGTTGAATAAATGAAACAACAGTAGGTAATATAAAAAAATTGTTAAAAATCTTATGAGTTTCTGCAATAATGTATTCATGTAGCTCCTGGAACTAAAAAATAGTCATATATAATATAAAGCAAAATTCCATACAAATATCTTAAAGATTTTATTCAATCTAGCATTTTTGACAGTATTTTTAAAGAGAGAGACGTACACAAAAGTTTATTTAAAGGAAAAAAACTTAATACAAAAAATTTACTAGGAAATTAACTAAAAGTTTGGCTGAATTTAAAAATATGAGTTTTGAAATACACCTCCTTTCACACTAGCTTTTTCCCAACAAAATTTCCTCTTCTCTGCCCATCTAAGCATTGGTATGAAACTTGTGATTCTCTCCACCTACATCAATGCGCCCCCTATACCAGATCCATATATAAGCTTCCAGTTATTACTTGTTAGTCACTTTTCTCGATGGCAAAATGTTACATGTTATGACAATGGTTTTACGTGATTGCTGCGGGTTTCTCTTACATTTTGTGTAACTTTAGTTATACCCACGCTTTTGACGATTTTTTTTACCCTTCTTCTTGGGTTTTGAGTTTATAATCTATTTCTTTAATTTCTAAAAAAAAATTTAAAAAATCTGAGACTTTTCCGATATGAGTTCTCACATTCACATTTCTGATACAGAATCTCCTAGTACTCCTAATCTGCCACCTCTGGAGTCTAGCATTGCTCGGCATTGGGGGAGTCACCCTTTTCGCGGAGTACATCCAATATTTCATACACAGAGAGGTGGAATCTTACATGAGATCTGATGTTTCTTCTCCTGTTGGCTCACAGGCTGAGCTTGCAGAAGAGAATCTGGACTCTATTTTTCTGACTCATTTCTTTGCTCAGACAGCTAATTAGGAGCCTCTGATGGACATCTTGCCTTCTGCACCATTTTTGCAACTAGTACATCAAGTTTATAATGTCTTGAGCATTTCCCATGTAGCTTACGGCTCTTCTTTGTTGTTGGGGGAAAGTCATTCTCACCAGACATTGCTATGCATGCTTGGAGATTTCCTATTCAATTGAGAGTAGGTTTCTGCCATGCCATGTCTTCTCCATTTATTGAATCAGCATGCCTTAGCTTTCCATCGCTTGGAGGATACATATTTAGATTTACAGAGGCTAGATATCTTCTTATTCCTATTTGGGATTCTAGGTCTGATGCCACATAGTTTTTCCCGGACTTGACTGCTGCTTATAATAGTTTTGCATTTTTGATTTGCTTTGCAACTGTTATCTGAGACGTATCACATGTCTTCTGCTCAATTTTCAGAGGATCTTAGTCATTTCTTGACTTCTACTTTGGTAAGGTTATTAGCTTCTGCTCTCTCCTTGGTATCTTGGTTGGTTTGTTGCTGGGATCTTTTGTAGACAGATGCCTTTCTTGAGGGTGTTTGACTTCCTTCTTAGACCATTAGATATCTCAGAAAGGCTCCTTTTCTCAGACTTTTGATTTTTGCAGATATTCCAGGTTCATTGGAATTTTGAGTGGATGTGGCCCGTCTTCACTCTTCTTTTTCAACACTAGCCTTTTGTCTTTCCTAGTTTTCTACTGGATGGTTTACTGCATCTCCAGTTCGAGTTTCCAGACTTCCTGCATTGGCTCCACATTCTATTGATCACAAAGGAGATTCTCCCCTTATCAGCAGGCATCCTACACTTGCATGGAGCACTAACAACAGCATTGGTGACTAGCCTATGTGGTCCGGTACTATGGGAGCTTGACTCAGATATTTCATATCTGTATGGGAGACCTTTACTAACGATTAGTGGGTCATTCAGGTTCTTATGAGAGGGTTGGTTCTTCATTTCATGTCTCTTCCTCCATTGTCCCCTCCCCAAGGATTGTCTTTCATCCAGTCATTGGACACAAGCCATCCAGGATCTTCTGCTCAAAAGAGCCCATAGAATGCATCAACTACTCTCTCAAGGTTTTATATTCCCGTTTGTTGGTAGTACTGAAGAAGACGGGCGATTGGCGACCTGTCATCTACCTTTCTTGTCTCAATCATTTCCTCCAGCCTCCTCAGTTTACCATGGAGTTGCTTCTTTCCCTCCGATGACACTTTGCACCTGGTCTATGGATGATGAAGTTTGATGCTGCTGATGCCTATCTTCATATTTCTATCACGGAGTCTTCATGTCGGTATCACCATTTTGAACATGAAAAACAGGTTTTTCAGTTTCGTGCTTTACCATTTGACCTTGCATTTGCCCCATACATCTTTTGCTGTATAGTCAGATATTTTTCACATCATCTTCACTCAATAAGCATTTACACTCCCCATTATATGGATGACTGGCTTCTTCTCGCTCCTTCCCGTCACTTGGCAGATCTTCTCACTTGAACTCTTGAGCTCCAAAGTGGCAAGAGCTGGGTTTCTCATCAAAACGGAAAAGTCTGTTCTTACCCCCCACAATCCTATATCCATTTAGGAATATTTTTCAATTCACGTCTTAATGGGGCCCAACCTTCTCCTCTATGGCTTCAGGCCATGGAATGGACGGTTCTTCTAATACAGTTGTCTCCTTCTCCACTGGTGTGTGCAGTTCTATCCCTTTTGGGAATGTGGGCATTCATGGAATCACTCCTTCCTTTGGGTTGGGCCCACATGCATTCCCTTCAGTGGTTGTTACAGGACCAATGTTACATTTTTGCACAGATGCACTGCTTGATCTTGGCTAGTGGTTGAACAGGGACAACATGACAGTGAGTGTCCCTCTCCAACCTCCACATCCATAGATACATCTTTTTGCAGATGCTTGTATTCAGGGGTTGGAAGTTTGTGTAGGGGATATGGAATTAAAGGGCCTCTGGATAGAAGAGGAATCTTCTTTCCACATCAGTCTTTTATAGCTTCTAGCAGTTCAACAAGCTGTGTCTTGGGCTTTCTAATTGTTGAGAGAGGTAGTGGTAATGCTTAACACAGACAATTCCATTGTGGTCTCCTACATTTCCAAGCAATGGGGCACTCACTCCGGGTCTATTTGTTTTCAGACATTGGATCTTCTTTTTGGGCCCACAGTCATAAGATTGTTCTCCTTGCTTGTCATCTTCCAGGTATTATGAATTTAGTACCTGATCAGTTATCTTGTCCCAACAGAGTTCTTCCCACAGAATGGATGCTTCATCCACAAGTTTTTTGTTGAATCTGGTTTCATCTTGGGATGCTTCAGATCGATGCTTTTGCCTTTCATTGGAATGCTCAGGTCCTGTCCTTCTAGTCTCCTATCCCTCACTCTCTGGCTTTGGGCATAGATGCTCTCAGCCAGGATTGGGCTGGTCTTCATCTTTATGTGTTCCCTCCAATTCATCTATTATCCAAGGTTCTTGCACTGATTCACTTCTCATCCTATCAAGTTCTTCTGGTGGTGCCATATTGGCTGGGCCAGCCTTGGTTTCCACTCCTTCAGTATCTCCAGGAGTACCAACCTCTTCTGCTTCCTCTCTGGCCATCCCTCTTACATTAGCTTCGGCTGGACATTTTTCCTCTGCAGATCACCATTCTCCAGCTTCATACCAGGCTTTTATGCAGTCAATCCAGTATTTTTCTTTGGACATTTATCAATGGAAATGGTTTACTTATTGTAAGTGGTCTCTCAGACATAGTTTTAATCCTTCTCACCCAACTGTGCCACACATTTCTCAATTTGTGACATGGTTTGGTACCTTTGTCTGTTTCTCTGCATAAGGCAGTTTTGTCTACCACTTTTCATTTTTTTGGAAGACATAAAGTTTTTGAGTCCCTTATTTTGTTATTACTTCTAAAATCTTTTTAGGCTCTCCATTCTCAACGTCCTTTCCTAATTGGGATATCTCGGTGGTTCTCCATGCTTTATCTCATTCATCCTTTGTTATCCTGTTCCCTATATCACCTTTTGATTAAGACTTCTTCTGTTGTTGGCTACCAGATGTTGACATTCATATGTGTTTGCGATTCATGTTCACAGGACTCTTTTACCATTTCTCTTATGTTCTGTTGTATCCCAATAGGTCCTTTCTTCCCAAAACATCAATGGCTAGAAAATGAGATAAGAGTTTCTCTCCTATTCATCTTTCCCCCATTTCCTATTTTTATGAATGCTCTGGTTTGGATTGTCTTTTATGTCTGGTTCGTACTCTTCAATGTTATGTTCTATGCACTGAAGAGTTTTTGGGGTTCATATCACTGTTTGTTTATCCATTGTGATCATAAGGTGTCATGTGGCTTATCCCCTGTAACTTTGGCTGGTTGGGTTTGTCAGTTGGTGCATACTGCTTACTCTGGGCCTTCATTGGAGGAACAGAACTTCTTTGGATCTCATCAAGTTCACCATATCTCAATATCCCTGGCAGCTCGGTTGCATTGTGGACCACACCTAATACATTTATATCTCATTATTTGCAGTTGCATCCTCAGAAGGTTTAAGGCTACTCCCATGGCTATTCTTCATGTGTCGACTCGTTTGCAAAAGATGTGTGACTTCCTTTCTTTTGTGTTTATTTCATATCCTTTGTCAGGGTCCCTCTCACCCTTTTCATTTGGATCCCACTCTGTGGCGGGTGTTGCCTGGTCAGGTATGCTTATTTCCAAATTCACACTAGCTACCAGTTGACCGATCTCAAATTTTTCTGATAGCAACGAGCTCTGTTGAGTTGGGGTGTTCCATAAGACCACCTTTTGTGCTTTCCAGGTGGAATACGATTATAAAACAAAGACAAATACACTACTGTACTGCTACTCATGGACTATCATGAGTAAAGCTTAATGGGATTTTGCCTATCCCTGCTGACACCTAAATTGAATAAATCAGGGTTGGTTTGCTTTTCAAAATAGGGAATGTGGTTCACCTATTGCATGGTCTCTGGAGCATTGTTCCTCAGGACTCCTCAGTGCGAGTATTCCTCTCCATTTCTCCTAGTGGAGCATATGAGTCCTTACCACTCTTGGTTTCCAGTCCCTGAAGTGGTGGACAGAGGTTTATTCCTCCTGAGTGATACTTGTACTCATTATTCCACTCAAAGCTGGTTGCCCTCCTACCAATAAACCTGAACGGTTTTCCCAGATGTATGGTAGGAGCAGGACTAGCCTACATGGGACTATCCTCATAATTCTGGTTCAGAGATGACTCTTCATTATCTGGTTGAGTTGTGTGTGGCCCTTTTTTTTGGTCATTCTCTTTATTTTGATGACCAGGGAAGAGGGTCCTTGAATCCTCATAATCCTGCATGCAGAGTGTCACTTCCTGTGCCATTGGTTGAACTTAGTTTGCCCCACATCTTCCTCATAATTCTGGGGGCAAGAGGTATTGCCTTACCTCTCAGGTTGAGGAGTTAGGATTTTGGCACGTAATCTCAGACTGGGTAATCTCTGTTTTTTCAGGTTGAGTGAGGCATGATAGGTCCTGAAATTCCAAGTTCTGTTTGTTGCATTTTGCACTTCTTCAGGCTGGGATGAGGATTTGTCCACTTTTGTGTTGCATGCCTTCTCTTCATAATTCTGGTGGTTTGACATGCAACATTCTGTAATTTTCAGGTTGGGTTCCAATAATACCACATTATTAAACAAGATAAAAAATATAGGGGTTTTTGTGCCCTAGCCACTACACCTCGGATATTGATTTGGATCCACAGCCCTATAATTCCAATGATGAGACATGGTACCTTGTCTGCTTGGTTGGGGCCTGGACAAATTCATGTTCTTCTAAAGATATTAGAATTTTGACTCTGTGGCCTTTAGTGCCCAGGAATTAGATTTTGTGTTGTCTGGGCATTGAGCATACCTGTTGCAGAAGTAGTGGGACCCCATTGATGTGCTATTACTATATCAGTATTTTGCACACCTCTTTTCTATGCTGATGCTTTCTGTGTGGACCTTGCTCTTACCAGCCCCTCCACCTTATCAATGTGGAATTCTAGCTAAAGTGTGAGAGGAGGTAAGCATGTTTTGGAAATTAACATTCACCTATACTGAAAATGTATTTCGGATAATACTTGCATCCTCTCCCTCCCTTCCTCCCCACGAAATGGCCAGTTTCGGGTATGTTACTATTGGCCATTTTGAAAAGTGAATAAGAAGTAATAACGGGGAGCTTATATACAGATTTGGTATAGGGGGTGCATTGACGTAGGTGGAGAGAATCACAAAATTTAAATTGTTATGGACAATATAGTGGGGTAAAAAAGCTGGAGCAAGCAAAGTAAAATTCATACCAATGCGTAGGTGGACAGAGAAGAGAAACTCTTGCCAGAAAAAACTTAGAGCATGAGAGTAGGTAAGTATTATTGAAATACATTTTCGGTATAGGAAAATGTTAACTTTCATTACAATATAATATAAAGGATTAATGTTTTCATTGTATGAGAGCAGAATTTTCAAGAATATTTTAAATAAATTTATAAAGAAACTTTTTTTTTATTCATCATAAGAATTTGTTTGTTGTTAAGTGCGAAACTGCATAGTGAAGTATGTGTACTGTGCCCACCACAGAAATCAAATGCTAAACTTTTAGAGTTTTAAGCCATCATGCTTACCACTGAGTCACCAAGGGCAAATTATAAAGGAATAAACTAACCTTTTATTTAATATTTCTAATAACAGTCATGTTTGTTTTTTATTTTCAGTGCTCAAACTTAATGTTAATTGAAAGCATTCAGGGAGAGCCACTGTGTTTCCATGTAATACCCTTTGATAACCCTCGGCTCCAGTACACTTTCCAGGTATGTTTGTGAAATGTTATTAATCTTGAGCATATTTTCAATGCAATAGATTAGGCTTGTTGTTTTAAGACTTTTTCCAATATAGTGTTTTTTGATATTTTGAAGACAAAAAAACATACTTGAAAGTCAAATATAAAGGAAATTTGTTAAGTGTAAGATTAACTAAATAAAATGAATTGCAGTTACCAACCAGGTGAGAAGTCAGATATCTTTAACTTTTTTTAAGGCTAAAGTTTTTTGTAGTTGGCTTCTTGTCTTGATTGGATAACCTATAAGGATTACTGAATTTCATCTGATTTACATAGACAGGAGTTACAGTGTTTCAAGCTTAATTATTTTAACATAGGCTAGAAACATGGAACAAAAGAGAGAATGGTGTCTGGAACTCAAGAGAGTTATCTTGGAGAATTACAATGCTGTCATCCCTTCACATGCCCGACAGTTAGTCATGGAATTGGGTCAAAACAAACAAGAAGGTAAGTTGAAATGGTAACGAATAACCTCCATAAGTTAAATTTTAGTTCTTGCAATGATAATTTTACTCTTACTTTCAAGTGTGTGTATTAATTAATTAAAAAAGAAGTTAAACGATTCTGTCAGCAAAATGACATTTATGATAATTTGTATGTGAAATTTTTAGTCAGTATCCTGCAAGTTTGATGTGTTGTAATAATCGAGAACTTTAGCTGTACATTTGGAGAGAGAGAGAGAGTAATTACTTGAATAAGTAAAGAGAATGAACATTTCAATTCTCTTTAGATTCAGTTTTGTTTTTAGCAAATAGGGTTTTTTAATGTAACACTGAACAGAAGTTTAAGATCATTCATTAAGAATAAAAATGATTAACAAATTTCAGATCCTGTATCTTTGGATAAAAGCAGTACTAAAAGACAGCTTTCTGCACCTGAGTATCTTGAAAAAAGAAAACAAGAAAGGAGAAAGTCTGAAATCAGTTTGAATCGAGCATTTAAACTTAAGAAAGGTAAATGCAAAATACATGTACTTTGACCTCAGTGTACAAACTCTTAAAAAGAAATCCTTTATAAATTAGCATAAAGTGTTTAATTTAAGAAGAAGAAAATGTTGAAAACTTCATTTAATATGTTTTATTTGGTTGGGTGAAAAAGATATTTTATTAGTTTGCATGACCAAATGTTTCTATTTATTTTAGTTTTGATTTGAGTGGTAAAAGTACTTTATTAGTTTATATACTTCAAAGGTTTTATTTGACGTAACTATCTTTATGTGATTGAGAGGAAAAGTTTTTTATTAGTTTACATGCCTCAAAGGTTTTTATTTGCATAATATTGATATTTTCACTGGTGGAAAATGTCTCTTGTTATCTAATTAAAAAAGGCACTTTATGTATATTGATAGATATTTGATGTCTTTGATATTTAATGAATTTACATGTATTACAATAGTAGAAATGACCTGTTTGCAAAAATCGGTCAAAGTTGTATTAAAAAAAAACTTGCATTTTCCATATTACATTAACCAACATCATAAAGCAATGCCCATCATATCATTTTTATATTATTCAGAACTGTGTACAGTATTGTGATTTATGTACAAATTAATTTTAAAGTCTGTAATTTTTTTCTTTTTATTTAGGTGTCAAGAAGGTATGTCCACATGCTAAAAGCATTTTCATACTTGAAAAAGCTGGATGGATGAGAAATGACATGTTACCTACTATGTTTTGTTTAGAATCATTATGTTCTGTTTTCTGTAACTTCTTTATTATTTATTTGAAATGATTGGCACTTGTTGACTTCAATATTGGGTACTATTGTGATTAGTTCGTTTTTTTGTGTATTAATTTACTATGAAGCTGCTGGTTGTAGATTTCATAGTTGCCTTTAAAACAAGTTACTGATGCAATTTTATATGATAATACCATTTAATAGTAAGTAGAAGTAGACAATTATATATTTCTAACTACCATGCTTCTGAGATCTCATAACAATTACTTGAGTGTAGCCATCAATGTCTTGAAAACATTAATGTATAAAAAAAAAAAGTCTCTGAACTCAGTTAGAAATCACAAGATATAATAATAATAACAGAAAGTTCTCAGAGGATCTAGTTAGAAAGCATTATTGAAAGGCTAGGAGGTTTAAGAGATTTATACAACAGGTTAAATAGATATTTAACAGTTACACAAAAATCTTATAAATGTAGGAAATCAGTCAGAATTCTTCTTTATAAGTATATTTATTTACAATGTTATCAGGGGTGTGGAACAAGTTTACTACTATCCTTTGCCTATTGAACAAGTAGGGTTTTATTACTCCTCATCATTTACCCTATTGCTAGAAAAACTGGTATATTCTAGGGAGCTACACAAGTTCCTGAAAAATCTGAATTGTGGAGGTCTAGCACACATATGTATATGAATATTTTGCAATATACACCTCAGAACTAAACCAAAACTATATACACAAAAAATATACACATTCTTTCAATTCAAAAACCCTTGATCACACATACAGAAACATTTGTATTTAAAGTAACGCAACAATATTATTAGGAGCCCAGTAAAATTTGACACAAGCTTTAGGAAGACTATATTACATACTAAAAATTTCAAAAACCTTTAAACATATTATATATATTAAATACCATTTAGTTCATGGCAACATTAATGTAAGCCATGGTTTCATTATCAGCTTATGTGTGGGGTATTTTACAAACTGCACTCTATAAAATCTTAATAACTATATGTTAAAAAAAACATATAAAATATATGTATATGAAGAGCTTAAACGTAAAACATGGTATATACCTTACCCAACAAAATTTGGCCATTATGTTGACTGTGTTCACTGTTAAATTAATCCCAAATCCTCAAAATTGTATTCTACTTTTGTGGGATTGGGAGGGGGAAAAGTAGATTTTCTATTATTTTGTCCCTTAGGCAATTTTTTTCAAAAATTCCAAACCCCTGGTGTTATGTTGTTATGTGATTGAGTTTTATTTGTTGGAATTTGTACCTTTAATGTTTCATTGCAATCATTGTTTCCTGTTTTTGTATTAAAATCAGCTGCTGTCATTAAGTGCTTGTTATATTATAGCAAATAGTGTCTTGAGATTTGCCTTTTGCAAATGCCCTTAAAAACTGTTGATTAAAAATAAGTGGAATTACCCCAGTAATACATTAATTGAAAGTACTAAAGTAAAAATATTTCAATTGAAATAGATACATCAGATTATGTAAAAGAATTAGCTAAATATTGATAAATCTATGCATTACATTTTGCTTTCAAATATTTCTTTTAATATTACTTGCGTATTAGTTAAAGAAACATTGTGCTAATGAAGTTTACTTTGTTATTTCTAACTCATTAATGACCTGTTTGTGTCATTTGTTTTTCTTTTTTTCCCCTCTCTTAGAATGATACCCTCACCAGCTCAAAAAGTGTGAGTATTTTTTAAACATTTACTTATATATCTATACTGATATTAATTACATTGGAATCAAAGTAGCAAGTAACTAATGACATTAGCTGTTTTATACTCACAAAACTGACACCACTTTGATAGACAAAACGCTAAGCTCTTGGATGAATATAAATACTTAAAATATTTTGAGTATTAATAATTAAAATAATTCTTTGTGGAAATTTTTTTTATAGAGCTATATGACTGTTTGAACTTAGTGTTTTAAAAAAATCTATTATTGATGTATCTTTTATGGAGTTATACAAGTTAAAAGTTCAATATTAAACCTTCTAGTCATTGCCAGAAACCAAAAGAGGGAGAAGATTACGAAGCGCAAGTCAAGATGTTATATCTTTTTACAAAAGTGAAGACAATAAAATTAATTACAATAACAATCAAGACAGTTTGGATATTCCTGTGACCTCTAGTGGCAGAAGAAACAACAATGGCATTAAAAATCCCTTTGTAAGTAAACAAATGGGTATTTTAAAAACATACTTGTAGATATGAACATTTCAAATTTAAATAAGTATAAATTCCATTCAATGCAATCAGGGCTGAGATTTGTCCTTGGAAAACTTCTTTGATATTATCAGTTATAATGTTTAAAATAATTTAAGCATTATTATTGTTTATTATAATTTTCTTATTGAGATTTTATACACTTATGAAGATAATTTTGCAATATTTTTTTAGTGTATGGTTTTAAGACTAACTCAAATCTTTTAAGCTAGACAAACCTCATGATATTATTGAGATTATGATCATGAATATCAGTAATAGCAAAGGTACAACTCGTATTTAATGAATAACATTTAGAAGCTGCCTTGCTTATAATATACATCATTACATCATTTTTAATTACATTATGTAAATTCTATGTGCTGCACTTTTGTGTGATGAAAAAGTAGGTTATAGTAATTGGTGTGAGAGTATGTCAATCATGTTATAGTTTGAGAAGCTGCTTAGAACATGTGTATTTCACACTATATGAATTATATACATTGACTTCTTTTGTTGTTTTTAATATGTATTTACAAACAAGGGTGAGAATTATAGGACTAGGGGATATAAGTATGAATTTTAACAGAACAGGAGCCATCTTCAGCTAAGACAAATTATATTTTTTAATAGGATGTTTAGCTTTTGAAATTGGTTGCTATCAGACGTAGTTTAAGGAAAAGGCTGATAAGTATTTGATTGATGGTTTTTTTTATAGTTTAGTTTAGTGGAAAATTAGCCTAGATGGACCAAGAGGTCACTTGTTGTCCTTAAATTTATTGTTATATGATACTGGAATTTTTTTTTAGAAATTTTGATTTTCAGTTGTGGTCTCCTTACTATTGGAAGGATACTGACTTGTTGGAAAGTGTCTAGAGGAGAGCTCATAGAATGATTCCAGGGATGGAAGGGTTATCTCATGGGAGATAGGTTAAGATCTATGCTTTCTTGGAAAATGAATGTTAAGAGGTGATTTTATAAAAGCTTACAGATTATCTGGGGGATCAATAGGATAGAAACCTATAATGTCTTTATTGTCTTTAAATATTGTTTTAATGAAGTAGAAATTAAAGAAGTTTTTACAAAAAAAAATATATTTCCATTATATTTGGTTGCTAATACTAAAAGACTGTATAATCATAAATAGCTAATATAGTGTTTTATCAGATATTGGCAAACATGTATTTGAATTAATTTAAAAGTGTTAAATTATAAAATTTATATTCAATTTCAACTTAAAATTATTTTTAAGCCTATGGTTCATTTGAGTATTTGGTTTAAGTTTAAAGACAATGTGCCAAAAATTAACACACTAATGTCATCTACAAATATATATGTTCAAGATGCAGCTGTGGCTATGTTGATTCAAGTATTCATTGTTTGAGCTCAAGAATTAAAGCACATGCACAGAATACCCCATATAATCAGTCAGCTAGCATCTTACAAGCTTTACAAGATTGTAGTACTTCACCAACCATTCAGTACTTTCACACTTTAGGAAGTGCATCAAATGATAAAATGTTGTGATTGAAAGAAACTTTGCTTGTGGATACACAGGTGTCAGCCTGAGTTAAACTGTAATCAGTCTGGCTCATCTTTACTTTTAAAGCTGCATCTGATGTCTTATTGGTTATTGAATATATGAGTCATTTAAAAACTAGTTTAGAAATTATAATATATGACATTGAAATTCCACAAATACTATTCTCATTATGAGGAGAATGCACTTTATTAACATAACTTAATTTTTGTTGCTTGTTGTACAAGTCTCTAAACGAAGATATAAATTTCAATACAGGATTTAATTAATGTTGTAAGGCAACAGTTCCCAGTCTGTGGGTTACAAGAGGTATTAGTCACAGAACAGGAGACATAACGTTTAAGGACAACAAGGGACCTGTTGGTCCATCTAGGCTGTTCCATACATTAAACTATTAAAAAACAAAACTCAAAATTGACTCTTGTCATTCAAATATTTATCAAGCTTTCACTTAAACCCCCTTAAATTTATTGCTTCTAACAAATATATTGGAAGAGCAAATCCCTCCTTTCCCAGTCAATTATGAGTGCCAGTAAACTGCTTAGCTACTCAGGTGAGTCATAAGTTTGGGAACCTTTATTACCAATTTATTTTTTTATTTTCTTTGTATATAGATTGAAAAAAGGTTTGCACACTCCTGATGCAGGTTGGCAGTATAGCTGTAAAATAAAATTGCCTTTTAAGATAGTTTCAAATACATCAGTACAGAAGGGCAGCTGTGCCAAACTTGTATTAATGGTTTACTTGATGTTAAATTAATAATCATATTTTGTTTTAGCAGAAAGCCAGAAGCCATGGAGTTCAAGGATCCGGATCTCTCTCATCCAGCAAAGAGTCTTTGTCCCACCTCCGTTTAGGAGGAAGAATACAGCAAACCAGATCCTCATGGAGGACTTGGAGCAGCTTACCCGAGGAGACCACTGATACTGAGGTGGAAGATAATTATGAGACACTCGATTTTAGCAGGCTTCTTCAGGTGGGACCACCTTTGCAGACAACTAGGACACAGGAAGAAATGTTAGAAGACTTGGCAGGAGAATATGTTACTTTTGTATTTGCTCATGCATATGCTTGCAGAGACATGAGATCTCTAACTGAACCTGAACAACCTAGAGGTAATATCACAGTCCAACCAGTAAGAAGTGACAAGACTGTGGTACCTTCAGTAAAATCTTCACTGAAAATACCAAATGAAGATGAATTTGGAGAAACGTTAACAACAGCTACAAACATAAGATGCCACAGAGACAACAGCTCTGAGTCTGATAATTTAACCAAACTCAGAACTACTCAGTATCAAAATAATGGCACTTTAGAGTATAGAACATCAGCTTATAATGACAGTCTTCTTGATTTCTGGGACAAGTTAGGTAGTGTACAAGTCAAGAACAATTGTAATATAGGAACAAGCAGTACATCAAGTGAGTCCTCTTGGAGAAACAGTTCTGCAGTTCAAAGAGCACAGTCTTTTACTGGAATAACAAACATCAATGTTACATCTTTACAGCACTCCTCTTCCCTCCATCAGCCATCAGAGATACTTCAGGAAACTTCCTCTCTTCATGATGGCAAGGTTTTTCAACCTGGTAAACTTTTACAGCAGGCTGAACTGCCTTCTTTTCCTCAAGTACCTTCTAAAGATGACTTGAGTCCTACAGCACCAGCTGTATGGCTCTCACAACAAAAGCATTTGGCTGATGTATACAGTAAGTTTGGATCACTTCCACGCAGTTTCCAGGTATCCCAAGAGTATGATTCCAAATCTCCTACAGTCAAAGAAACTGAACTTGCTGAAAGTCAGAGAGCTCGTAGGAGGGTTGCAGAAGGTAGCAGAACTCAGTATGCTGATCATCGTCCATTTACAATAGCCTCTGACAAACCTTGTCAAGCAGACTTGAGGGAAGATCTAGATGGTTACATTGAAGATTCTTCTCATATGGGTAATTTCTCAAATTTTACTTCAGGTAATGAGTTGAGCAGCAAGGACAGAGCAATAACAAGTGTTATCACACCAGCAATTAGCATTGAAAATGTTTCCATTCATCCAACTCACAAAGTTTATGGACAGCCAAGAACAAGGTATGCCACTCTTCGAAATGTGCTAGCCAATTTTAGTTCAAAAATAGCAGCACTTAAATCAGTTTTGGGGTCTCCTTCTAATGACCAATCAGATACAAATTCTGTTGTCTCAGAGGGTAGTGATTTCCAACTTCCCTTCAAGCATGGATTTTTACAGAGACGATCTGCTAGTCGAAATAGTGTTAAAAGTGAAAAAAACCTCAGTCCTCGAGCTGTATCAGCTAACTTCTTTCATTCTCTAGCCAAAGCTTACTCAGCATTGAGGAAACATAGATTAAAGAGAGAATTTGTGCCTAAAAGTTTTCATAATGGTAAGGGCTTGACAGAAAAGAAAACATCTATTCCAGTGAATACACATGGAAGTTCTGTTGTTGGTGCACGTATAGCAAAACTTCATGAATCAGAGTATTCTGTACCAAATACTCTGATGATTTGTCGCCAATTACGAGCAGCAAAAGAATTAGAATTAAGGCCAGACAGTTTATTTTCAGATTCATCCAACACAACATCATCTAGTGATGGAGACAAAACATCTGGTGTGGGAGGTAGTGTTGTGACAAGGGTTAGTTGTAGTGAAAATTCACCTCTTGCCATAAGGAACAATGAGGATGATTCCACTTCTGATTCGAGTAATGACTCTGTTGACAGCTTTTATGAGAGAACCTTTGAAGCTATAGAAAATTCACTAGAAGATGAAATGTTTCGAGATTCAGCTATTTATAGTGATCCTGAAGAAGCAGATCTCAGTACAGTGGAGTTCTGTTTACCAGGTAAGAAACAAACAAAACAAGTTACTTTAGATAAAAGAAAACCTTTCAACTACAAGTTTCCTTACTGTTATTATGATCAAAAGTTTTTAGCACAAAATTCAGACTGTCATACTTCACAGCCTTTCAATGGCACTGTTGTTGAGAGGGTAAAGTTTCCAGAGGTGAACAGAAATTTTCAAACTGAAGATATTTCTGGACACCAGACTGAGATACCAAACAACCACAAAGAACTTTCTATCAGCTGTTATCGTAAAGATCATGAAGAAAGTGAGACAAGTTCAGAACATTCAACTTCCACTGTAAATACTGTTATGGAAACTTGCTATGCAACATCTATTGAAGATTTTTCACAGCCAAGACAGGTTAAGGGATGGGTTAAACACATTGTTGACAAGTTGCAAGCAGAAAGCAGTGTTTGATGTAGACTCATCCTTTAGTTTTATTCACATATATAACTGTAAAGCAAATATCATTTTTTTTTTACTATCCCAGTGTGGTGTGCCTTATTGAAATGCCAAAATGTGCAGAAAAAAACCTCACAAGTGTATAGTCATGTGTTATCTGGGAATTTCTGTTATGTAAACTACTTAATGAGAGGATTAAAGTTTGTTCACAATAAATCACATTTTTACCATTTGAGTCATAGTTTAGAATTGTAAAAACATATCTTAGTACTAGCTCCCTTTTTTATTAATGTAAAAAACTAAAATTATTTTATCTCTGAGCTTCTAGATAAACCAAAGTTTAAAAAACATGCCTGATCACCACTGCAAATGATAGCATAGAAGTACTACTTTGTGGTAGTGAAGATTATATCTAGTCAGATATCTAGCTTAGCATTTAAGATGTGTCTGTTTTTCAGACTGGCCTTATTAATTATGATTTTTCATTTCAAACATATTTTCTTCTTGCTTTCTAAAACTGCATTATGTACAAATCAGTTGGATTGTATTGCATTCAAACACATTTCAGTATTTGGACAATTTCTTTAATGAATTTTACAAATGTAACAGTAACCAATTTGTGTGATAAATACTTTCTTACAAGTGGAGTCTTAACAAGATATTATGCTAAAGATCATGATAATCTATATTAATTTATTAGCACAAAATTACTCTTAAACATTTACAGTTTTTTGTAATATGCAAATTTCTGTTTGTTATCAATTATTTTAACATTAATCTATTTTTCAAAACATAAAGCAGGTATCAAAAAACATCTACAATATGCTAAAAACAACATTCTCTTTTTAGCATTCTGGTAAGAAACATTGTAATTATTCCTAAGAATCAATGCGAAAGAAGAGAAAAACATTCAAGATAGTCTCATTCAGTTCCTTAATTTATGTACTTAGTTATGGCACATGTATTTACTATGTCTGTCAACAAAGATGTTTGTGTAAAACATATCCTGTAATGTGTTTTTAGTGGAATCTAACCATGATAGTTAGAATACAAGCTAAGCAGTGGCTCTACTGTTAGGTAAACTATTTTGGAGTATTGCTAATTTTCAGAAGCTAGAAGTATATTTTTATTAAATAATACATAAGACTAATTGTTGAAAGTCTTGTTTCTTTATTATTGTTATTTTAAATTTATTTTTCTCACTGCTGAATAGTACACTTGTGTGTTTACTCCTGCTTAGACCAAAGTTATTGATGAAAGGTGTTATTTTTTTAAAACTGACATAATCCAGAGAAGTGGTCAGAAACTAAAAATAACTTTTTTTTCCTCATCAGGAACCAGGGAAAAAATGCGAACAGTTTTGAGTATTTTTAACTATATATGTTAAGAGTCTCAAAAATGAGTGTTTTTGCATAATTAATATAAAACTTTATATCTTGTAAAGTTCTGTTTGAGTGTAATAACGAATAACCTTCTGTTTTAATAACAACGTTATTTGTTTTAACCATTTCCATGACATTAGCTGTAGCATGTAGTTTGACAAAACCAAATCCCAATTCGAAGAAAATATTTTGGCATAACTTTGAAACATACTTAATCAAAGAAATCCCACAGATACATGTTTAGTTCCATAATTTCTTGTCCACCGCTGGCTCAGGCTTATAAGTCAGGACACTAAAATTTGGGTTTTGATACCTGTGGTGGGCAGAGCTTAACAACAACCAAAACCAAACCATAATTTCCAAATAGACCACAAAAATAATTATATTTTTTAGTTTCATCCCTCCAACCAGAAACATTCAGGATGATATAGAAATGACATTGTCCATTCTTCATGATGAGTAGTAAACAACAGATTTTAATCAAACTTCACAGATCACTTCCCTTGTGGACGGGGAGAACCTTAATGGTTTTGAGGTTAAAAGTTAAAGGTAACCATTAACAAAATCACAAAATACACACATACTCACACAAATAGCTAGTTGTCAAGAGGATCAGTATTCTACTGATGGCTTTTTTTTTTTTTATTATAAAGGATCAAGAATCACAAGTACAGCTACTTCTCAGGCATGTTTCTTTTTCTTAATCATTTGTGATTATGGATTTGATCAGTATCTTCATTTATAAAATATTAACTTTTAATTACAATACAACATTTCAACTGTAACAGATACTAAGTTTCAAGACTAACTGAGAAAGCTTTAGATAATATCATTTGTCAATTATTAAAAGATTAATTTTTTTCTAAATACCAAGTTTAATTTTACCACAACAGTATATTTTAAAACTAAGTGTTTGAAATGTGAATAGCTTATAATAAAGAATAATTATCCTTCAAATTGATGAGTGGCAGAGTTTGTACATAATTAGTAATTACTAATATTTATCTTTTTCAGAAATAGTTAAAATCTGTAGAATTTTCCATGTGTATGAGTATGAAGTTGTATTACATAGAAACATGTACACCAGAAATTCTTTATATAAGGACATACAAATAGGCACTGGTTTTTGGTTTACTTCATCTGAAATTTACCTACCTACCTACTTAAAAAACTAGTATAAGCACGTTTACCCTTTAAATGATGGTTTAGGCAGCGTATTCATGTTGTTATATCTTAGTTTGCTTTTAGTAGTGAGTCAGCATAGGTAAAATCAGCCCAAGCAGATTCTCCATTAAATTTACTTTATAAACCAGGTACTGCCTAATACATCCTTGAAATAACATATGGTCATAACCTTCTGCTTACAGTAGTTATAAATGCAATTATCACTGAATGCTGTTTGGGAACTCCAATTGCACATCATGGTTCACCTTAATGACTTTCAGTTCCAACTGAAAAGTCAAGATTAGTAAGAAAAGGTTAAAGTCATCATCCACACATGTTCTTCACATTCTTTTAATAATAGATGTTCATATACAAAGGCTCTGAAAGTTGACAGTAAATATAAACTGAACCAAAAAGTGTTTTAGTAACCTGACGTGGGTGTTCGACTTAAGTGCATTGGAAACCTTTTTTAAGCCACATGCAACTTTTTTGAGAAAGAATCTTTGATTTCGATACGATATCTTATCTTCTCTCACAAAATAGCTTTTCTTGATTAGTACTTCCCTCTATCTGCACAAATTTTCAACAGTTCCACCTCAACATACCCACATGTATATGATTATGCAACAGCTTTACAGCAGTATGAGCACAATACAACCTTTATCGTAACCAGTGCCTTCTCCACATTTGCACTTGCTAATCACTTCTCAATTGGCAGTAGTACTGTACAAACATGCTTGTTTTTGCCCACAAATTTGTCAGTGTTTTCCTTCATACTACAGACTTAGTTTTTCTTTATTTTGTTTTTGTTATTTCTCTATTTACAGGGGTATTTTTAGCTAGTGTATTGTGGATCTCACTCTGTGGTTAATGGTGCCTCACCAGGTGTACTTTTTTTTTTGAAAATTCACTCTGTTCATTCTGTGACCGTGCTCAATGTCAGTTATGTTGTAGCTCTTCCTACCATGAACCTGATGTACAATTCCAGAAGCCACCAAGTGTTGGTTGTGTGTCTTCCTTTGAATGTCATCTATGCTGAAACAATTACGTTGCAAGATTAAGTAACACACACTGTAGAGATGAGGTGTTCTGTAGGACCACTAATAGTTCTCTCTAGTGGTCTTTTGCTTCATAAATATGTTCATCCTAGACTGTATACTCATGGACACACACACACAAGTAAAGCAGACAGGGATTGCTGCCCATCTCTGGTGCTCCGTTGCATTGAGACTCTTTCTACTGTAGACCTGACGTACAATTCCAGGTGCCGCCAGGTGTTGGTTGATCGACTCCATCAAAGTGATAGCTCTGCTTTTCAAAATTGGGTATCACGGTCACTCATTGCACTGTCTCCTGTGATGCAGTTGTCCGGACTCTCCAACACGTTTTTCCCTCCTTTCTTCTAGTGGAACATGGGAGTCCTTGCCACTTACCACTTCCTAGCCGCTGGACAATGGAGGCCTTTTATCCTGAGTGATGCATCCTACCACTTGGTTGAGAGTAGGGTGGTGGCATTCTGTTGGTGCTGATGGTGTATAGCACTTTCTACTGCATATCTGATGTACAATTCCAGATACTGCCAGGTTTTGGTTGTAGCACTATACCATATTAATATATATCTGACAGATTGCTTTTTCCCACCTGGGCATTCCTCCTTCCTACTATCCTCCAACTGTACATTCCTGGTGGGTCTGGTGTTGGTTGGAGATCATGTGTCAATGGTGTGATGCCCTTTTTACCATGGACCTGATATACAATTCCAGATACAGCCAGGTTTTGGTTGTCACAACTATATATATTGCAGTTTGTCCCTCAAGCTGAGACATTCCTCCTACCTGCCAGGGGGGGGGGGTCAGGTATTGATTACAGATGGTCCAGCTAAGTAAGACCTCACTTGTTTTCTGGCATGTATCTCTCCTCCTACTGCGGACTGGGTGAAAAGTGCCCAATGCATCTCAGGTTTGTGGTCCCTCTTCTTACCATCTGCTGGATGTCTGTTCCCAGCAGATCTGGTGTTGGTTGTAGCTAAATACGGCATATGTATTCCCACTTGTGTAGGGCTGGGTATCCTTCTCCTATCACAGTCTGGAAGAACCATACCCAATTCCACCAGGTTTTGGCTGGAGATGTCATCCCACCAGGGCTTTCCTCCTTCCTACCATCCACTCGATGGTTTCTCTTTTGAGATGAATAGGTAGGTGATCCTCTTCCTACTGTGAATCTGTTGTACAATTCCAGATACAGGCAGGTTTTGGATGAGGTTGAACTACCACTATGATCTGTCACACCATAGCCACTCGACACCCAGGGGTCCCATTAATCGGTAATCTTTTATATTCATGACACAGTTATAAAAGAGTGAAGAGCATACCTGGATCAGATGTGGTGCTGTCTCCTGCTGAGGTGTGATATTTTCTTTTTTGGTTCCACACCTCTTGATCTCTCTTTGGGTGCTCCCTAAACGAGGATAGTTTTTTTACACAGTTCAATGTGGGATTCTAGCTATTTTGGGAGCAGAGTAAGATATCTTATCAGAAGTTAACATTTTCCTAAACTGAAAATATATTGCTGATAGATATATATCTCCTCTCACATTTCCCACCCAGCCTCCCCACTTCTGGTGATATGTGGTATAGGTCTTCTGACCAATCTCGAAGTGAATAATGAGTGCAAGTGTGGAGAGGGTGCTGGTTATGATAGGAATTATGTCATCCTGCTGTATAACTATTTACATGTGGATATACATAAGGTGGAAGGCTAGTGGCAAGCATTGAAAATTTGTGTTGATAGAGAGCAGTACTAATCGAGAAAAGCTATTTTGTGAGAGGAGGTAAGTATCTATCAGAAATACGTTTTCAGTTTAGGAAAATGTTAACTTCTTTTTCTTAAACTTACAAATTGAGAAGCACAGGATAATCTTAGAAAACAGTTCTCCTTATGTTATTCTGTGTCAAAGTGTAAGAAGGACCAAAAACTAACATTAATTTGTAGTTTGTAATGTCATGTAATTTTTCATATTTGTATGTCACGTTTCAAATTCATCATACTTCCAAATTTTGCCATTTTCATTCACCTAGTGACTGCTCATGCCTACCACTCTTAAAATGTATATTTAAATTTAAAAATTCTGTAATGAATCAGACTACCAAATTTTTTTAAAAAAACAAAGTAATA